CAGCCATTGGACAGACACAGGCCCCCAAATGCCCTTCCAAACAACAGTTCTGCTCTCAAGGGGCCAGCCATGTGGGTTCTACCAGAGAAAATATTCCTTTCTTGGGATTTCTTAAATCCCCTTAAGTGCCCGTCTGCTGAACCAGGCATCTTTCAAGTGATACCCCTGCGGCCCAGTCACAGGAAGTAAGCCACCTTAAGAGGCTGCCCCTCGGGCAATGCATTAATCTCACTGGAGGTGACAGGAGCCTAGACTGCCTTCCCCAGCCAAGGCAGCCAGCCGAAGCTGAGCAAAGGCTCCTGAAACTCCGGCTTCCACCAGTAATGATGAGTCCAGAAAACCTAGTCCTTTGGGGAAAGTGCTGGCCCACCTGGAGGACGGTACTTGTTTCTCTCCAGGGATTCCTCGTCATTCAACACCCCCCCCCCTCAGCTTCCAGCTTCAGGATTTCCCTCGGCTCTCCCAACTGAAACTGCTCCCTGCTTTAGTGTGTACAAGCCGCTCGAGCGCTGCACCTGCCTTCCCTTCTGTTAATGGTTCAGGGGAGGTTGTGTTATTTATTCTGCTTATTATTTTCCTTAAAGTTGCCTTCATTATTTTTACAAATATCTCACGCAGTAAACATATCCACCATACCTTCCTCCTTTTATTTACCCCCACAACCCCAACTGCCCTTGGAAGTGGGCTGAGAGGCCGACCCTGAGGCTGGGCCTGAGCTCACGGCCTCTCGCTCACTAGCCTGCTCCTTCCACCACACGGCCAAACCAGCTCTCCCCGCCCCCCACACCCCACACAGCAAGGGGCTCAGCCAGCACCTTCTTGCGCTCTTTTTGTTCCCGATGCTTCCGCACCAACAGGCTGCCTTTGCGGGCAATAATGGCCAAGTCGGAGGTGGCATCTTTGACAGGGATGACGGGCTCAGGCTGGAAAGAATGAAAAAAGGGATAATTTCAAGGCAGCAAAGGTCCTTCCCGCCACCCACCCCCACAAGCACCACCTGACCTGACCTGCTTGGTGAAAACAATGCGCCCATCCAGAAAAGGAGGTACCAGGTTGTGCACCAGGAGATGCACCCTGGCAGCGTTATCCTCCTCAAAGTCCTCCTCCACCTCCAGCCGGTGCACCACGCCACTCGTCAGCATGCGGTTGGTCTCCCAGCGCTCGTTATCCTGCCGAGCAGAAGGTCAAATCAGGCAGCAGCAGCCCCCGCTTCTAGGCCAAGCAGGCCTCGGGGGGCTCCCAGCAATAGCCGGGAACAGGCGGACCCACTGCCTCTGGGTCACGGCTGAGCACCAGGGCCCCTCAGCCTAGGACGCCCCTGCCCTGCCTTGCCCAACCTCATTGATCTGCCTGCGCTGAGCTGAGATGCGCGTCTGCTTTTGCCTCTGCAGGTGCTGCTCACGTTTCCTCACATACTCCTCCGAGGAGGCAGCCAGAGGGTTGTGGAATTCATCGTAGCCCTCGTCCATCATATACCAGTCCCGGTCAGCTTGCTGATAAGAGACAAAAAAGGTTATAGTCTCCCCAGATAAAAATGAGGTCTTTTCTGCTGCACTGTTAAGAGCAGCACCGCAATACCTCACCACCACCACCACCACCCCGAAAGAAGCCCCTTCCTCAACACCACAAGCAATTGGACAATCTCTCTCTCTCTCTCTCACGCACACACACAGCTGCCATTACACCGTGAGAGGCAAAAAGGGATCTCCAAGGGGCCTCGGGGAGGTCTCTAGCTAAGGGTTGGCCAGCTGGAACCGATGTCATGCCACACCCAGCGATGAAAATCCCACAGCCCACACTTAGAAAGTGAAAAGCAGCCCCAGCCCCCCTCCCTCCCTCTCTCTCTCTCTCTTCCTCCCCCCCCCCCCCCCCCCCCCCCCTGAGCTTGTCAACCAGAGATTTGCTTCCCTCTCATTCTGACGTTTTTTGCTCCGTTTCTTCCCTTTCAGGCATTTTGCCTCAAATAGCAAGGTAATCCCACCCCAGGGATTAAAGCTGTCAACTCACCCGCTGATCGTCTTCCCACTGCTGCCGTTCTTCCTCCGTTTCAAAGGCAATGCCGTCTTCCCCATCCTCAGATCGCCCTGGAAATAGATCTCGTGAGAGGTCAATTCTACCTTGGATTAAGGCAAATCTGGGCCTCTCCACACTCCGCCATTTTCCGCTTACCCCTGCCTCTGGAGAGCCAAGGGGTTCCGCCCAAATGCCTTCGGTTGTCAGCCCATTCATTGTATTTATAAGTAGGGGTGGGCAAAGGCGTCTCCTCGGGACCCCTGTTCCTGCTGGACCTGCAAAGAGAGACCACCGCAAAACTCACTCTCGCCGCCCCAACCAAGCCGGCCTCACTCAGGCCCCACCAATGCAGTGCCATCCCCCAACAAGCCTCCCTCACGTACCGTTCTCGTTCCCCCCGCCTCTCGCTCTCCCGAAGTTGAGCAGGGCTCCGGTGGCTCCGCTCTGAGTCCCGGCAGGAGGGAGCCGGGGAGGGAGACTCCCACTGGGAGCGGCGGGACCCGCTGTAACCGCTGTCTTCCTCCTCCCAGCTGGAGTGCGACGGCGTGGCTGCATCTGAGCACCGCAAAGGAAGGAGTCAGCCAGCGGCCGAGCCCGGAGGAGTGGCACAGCCGCCCCCGACCGCCCCCCCCCCTTTTGCCAGGTGGGCTCCCCGCTGCCAAGCACCTTTGGGCGGCTGCCGCGGGCTCTCCGGCTCGGTCTTCGGGGCGCTCCTGCTCCTCTCCGAGGAGCCCTCCTTCTCGGCGCGGCCGCTGCGGCGACCGCGGTCGCGGGTCTCTGCGGAGAAAGGCCGGTCAGCGGCGTGGGCGGAGGATCCCGCGGGGGCGGCGCCGGGCTCGGGCTCACCTCGGTCGCGCTTGCGCTCCTGCTCCCTCCGGCGCTCCTTCTCCTTAGACGAGGCGAAGACGCCCTGCTCCCGCCGCTCGCGCTCCCGCTGCCGGCTGCGCTCCCAGAAGCCCTCGCTGACGCCCCCCGGGTGCGACGGCGTCTCCACCTGGGCCGAGCGGTACTGCCTGCCGGGGGGGAGAGGGAGGAGCGGGGGCTCAGGCGGCGTGCCGGGCGGCCCCGAAGCCCCGCCGGACCCCCGCCCCGCCCCGCCCCGCTCACCTGTCCCTGCGCCGCCGGCCGCCCCGCCCCGCCCCGTCGCCCGGCTCCTCCGGCGGCTCCCGGGCCGGCTCGTCCGTGCCCTCGTCGGCGCCGCCGCGGGGCCTCTTGGCCGGCCGATCCTCCCGCTCGCGGCGCTTCTGGGCGGCCAGCAGGTCGAGGCCCAGCAAGGAGGCGCGCGGCGCTGGGATCTTGAAGACGTGCTGCTCCTCGGCGGCGCTGCGCCGCTTGACCAGCACGAGTCCCCCCACCTGCCCCTCGGGCGCCAGCCCGGCTAGCCGGTGCAGCGAGGCCTCCGCCGCTGCCTCCGCGCGCTCCTCCATGGGCCCCTGCGCGGCGCTTCCTCTTCCGGACGGAGCGGGGCCGGCGGCGGCCGTCCCAGAATGCCTCGCGGCGGCGTCCCTCTGCCCCTCCTTCCGCCATAGAGCCGAGGAGGGCCGGTCTAGCCGCCGCCGCCGCCTTTGGGCTTCCTGGGCCGCCCGGAGTCCCCTCCGTCAAGCTCCGCCCTTGTTGGCCCCGGCTGCCGCTCGGTCTGCGGCGCGGGCGTGAGCAGGGAGCCTGGGCCTCTCTCGGACACGAAGCCCCTTCCCAAAAGGCCCCTGGCAGGGCTCGTCTGCCCACTGGAGGGGAGCCAAACACGAGTCAAGGGCCGGAAAAGGAGCCGCCATTCGTGGAAGCGGCTCAGCTCCACTGGAAGACCAGGCGATCCTGGGGGAGCCTCGGAGCAGCTGCCTTTGGCCGAAAGCGCGCCGTTGCTTGTCTCTGTTTAACCCGCTGATTTAATGTTTCTAGTATTTATTATTGAGTTTGCATTGCCGCCTATTCGCCCGTGGCGACTCAAGGCGGCTTACAGAACATAAAGCCTCATTTAAAACAATAAGATATTAGACTGGGGGCCATTCTAATCTCGGGGGTGGGATGATGTTCCAGAGAGGGAGCCACCAGAGAGAGGTCCTTCTGGATCCCACCAGGCGTTATCTCCTATGGGGATGGACCTGCAGGCTCTGATGTGACTGGCAAGAGACTGTCCCTCGGATCACCTGGTCCCAAGCCCCGAAGGGCTTTAAAAGATGAGAACCAGCACCTTGAATTTTACCTGGAAGCAAATCGGCTCCCGCAGGGGATCCACATGCACACCAGGGTCTGCACAAAGCCATGCGGGTCGCTGCATTTTGCACCAACTGGAGCTTCCAGATGCTCAAGGACAGCCCCAAGGACAGCGTGTTGCAATAAAGACGGGAAGTGACTAGGGAATGAGTGACTGAGTAGGGATTGTTGGCCCAGGAAAGGGTATAATTGGCAAACCACCTGCAGTTGCACAAAGACCCTCCTGGCCACAACCGCCACCTGCTCTTTGAGCAGGAGAACCCCCAGAATACCCACAGGGTCTGTTTGGGGTAGTACCACCCCATCCAAGAGCAAAGGTTCTCCCAACGAACCCCAAACCCAGAGCCACTCTGTCTTACCAAGGTTTAGTTTCCTAGAATTTGAATGCACGATTTCTGTACCCTTGGTAAGAGACTTGACAACAAACCCCTTTAATGAAACGTTTTTCACTTTGCTTGAAGTCCTTGCAGTTGTTTGGGCAGTTGAAAAAAACCATTTTGCAGAAAGAATTCAGGGAGTATGGTTTTTTCCATGCCACTAAGGTACCTCAGTTTCAAAGGCAATGCTGGATGCTTCTATGCATAGTTTTGTATGCCACCTAGTACACTGCAATTGAGCAGCCAATAAATTTGGATAGATATTTTGTTACCAACCCCTTAATAGATTAATTTTTGAAGCTGTTTACCTGGTGCAAAGCACACTTCCTTCAAAGGAGACTCAGCATCTTCTACTGCCTAGATAGGCTTAGAGACATATATTTCAAAACTTCCAGAGGAAACAATCACAATATTATTTTATTTTTAAAAATCGTTGTGTGCCTTCTTTCAAAACAACTTCTGAATAACAAAATGGGTTTCCTCTACTCAGTGTGGTACAGGCCTCCCAACCTTACAGGGAGAAAGGGACTGAGAGTCAACAAACGGAACACTGATACCATGTTCCTCGCCGACTGTGACCCATTTCTACCTTCTTGTGCTGGGGTACTGCTTGCATCAGTCTCATGACATCAGGAAAGTTCTAGCTTTTACGCTTCCCCAGGAGAGGATGTATGCCAACAAACGCTTTTTCCCCCCTTGTTACATGTCTTTTTTTTTAAGGTCCAAATTCCCCCCTACATCATTAATGAAGGGCAGGAAGTAGCCAGTGGATCTCCGACAACACAGGTCCTCTTTTACTGCTGATCCAGGGAGTTCACTAATCCTTGACCAGGAATCCTCCGAGGTTGTGATCCGCTCCCACAGCATCTTGAACACTCTGGAATCCTTGTTCTCTGCTCAAGGCAAATAGAATTATGTGGTTTCTTTTCTGCCTCTTGGGGATAAAAAGGAAAATATCAACTCTTGTGAATTATCTTTTCCTAAATGTTGTTCTTTGCTACACAAGCTCCACTTCTTTAATTAGTTAATACCCCATGCAAGAATCTAATTCCTTTCAATGTATATTCCTCATTATGTTCTTCCTTACTCTACTAGTCTCTTCCTCTCCAAGTACAACCATTAATTTTCCAATACTGATTATCCCAATATTGAGTGAAGATTCCAAAGGAAGTGTGTGTGTGTTGGGGGGGGGGGGGGGGATTTGCTTTTCCTATGAGTTCTGCTCCGGAACATGAACCTTCCCTCCCATTAGGGCTCACCTGGCTGATAGGGGTGCTATCCTCCTGGCCTTACAAGTATTCAGGGGCAATTTTTAAATCAATTAATAAAAGATGTATTCAAGTCCTGGTTTCTCCTGGTTTTGTATCCATCCTTTTAAGTTCTTGATTAAGTGTTAGTATGCTGATTAACAGAAACAGGGACTGTCTACCAAGAGAAGCAGTTGTAGATGGAAGAGAGCCTGTTTTTCCCTCACAGATAGTACACGACACAACACCTTAATTTCGAAGTAACAAAAACAGAGCTTAAATCCAATTGTTTTAGAACAAAAGATAAAGTCTCGTATTTTAGATCTAACCAAAGGCCAAAAGAAACTTAAGCTTTCCATTCACCTCAGTAGGGCCTCAAGCTCCTGTTTTATGGCACCCACCACAGGTGGTCCATGGTATGTGAGGGCTGTATACATCTGGACCAAGGAGGCACCTGCCCGTATTTTCTCCAAGGCATCCTGGCCAGTGCAGACTCCACCCACTCCAATGATTGGTATGCACCCTAAGAGAAGGAAGGAAGCGTTTATAGAAAAGGAAACTGGTGCCATGGCCTCTCGTGCCTCTTGTTCATCTCATTACCTTGGGTGAGAGAATACATGTCGCTGACCATCTGGGTGGAGAGCTGTCGTAAGGGAGCTCCACTTAACCCTCCCACTTCATTGCATGAAGCCCCACGAAGGGTTTCAGGACGGCTCACGGTAGTGTTAGTTACCACCAGTCCATCAATCCCCAGCTGGAAAAGGAGACCAAAGGAAGAATTAGATGGTTCCCCTTTCCTTACAATCCTTGGGGTGAAGATGCAGCTGACCAGCAGCATGAAAACAGAGCAGAGGCTGCCTGAGTCAGGAACTCCTGAAGGGAATAACAGCCTGCCCTTGTCCTAGTGCTCAGTACCTCACTCACAATCCTGGCAATGTCCCGTTTCTCTTGGCTTGTCAGGTCTGGTGCAATCTTCACCAGCACAGCTGGCTTGTGCTTACCTGGGAGGGAATCCCGCTCAGCAAGAACCTGCCAGAAACAAAGATGACACTGAAGCTCCAGGCTTTGGCCATCTCTTCAATGGGCAGAACAGTACCAGCACACAGAGAGGCTCACAATAAGGTGAGATGCTCTTGGGAAGGCGAGGAAGAGGAGCTATACTCAAAGCGAAGCTGCTTCCAATGCGAGGGAGACCAGATGACAGCAAAGACGGCCACTCTGGTATTCACTAACAGTGGGTGGCCTGTTCCCTAATTGGGGCCCAACATTCCTTCTGACCGTGAGTACAAGTGGGCAGCAGCTCAAAGTGTATGCGAGTCTGCAGGGCGCAGAGCATCCCAAGGAGGAGATTTGTAAGGGAGAGAGGAGAACCTCCAAGGCCAAGGCAGAACCCTACCTTTGTAAGTAAGAGGTGCAAGTCTGCTCTGCCCTGCAGAGCCCGCAATCCTGGCGTGTTTGGGCTGGAAACATTCACCACCACATAATCAGCCAGCGGACCCAACATGCGAACGCCTGCAACGTAGTCAGCAGCTGCATCCACAGAACACTTGTTCTTGCCCAGATTTATTCCAAGAGGCATCCCCGCTAAAAACAAAGAAAATGCCATGAGGGCAGAAGCATCCCCCCTGTGTCCAGGAATTTATCCCCTTTGGTCTTGGATGGGCTTGTACCATGCCCCACAGACCCCACGCATAACCTGGGGTCCTTTTAGATTTACAGTTCCTGCTGGAAGAGCAGGCGGCAACTATGGTGAGGAGGGCCTTTGCTGTATGCCAGTTACACCCTTTCCAGAATAAGGAAATAGGGAGGCTTTCCGGTCATTTATGCCCTATTGCAAAATGCTCTACATGGGGCTACCCTTGAAAACTGTCTGGAGGTTTCAACTGATGCAGAATGTGGCTCAGCCATTAGTTGTAAACATCGGCAAGATTCTTTTGCTCAGTGTCCCTTTGCCCAAATAGAATCTGAGTGGGAAAGGTAGATTAGTATTTATTTATGCATAAACAAGGAGACACCCCATGGACACAAAGTGAGAGACTCCTTAAAGGTAGGAAATCCCCTTATACAGGTAGTCCTCGGCTTACAACAGTTCACTTAGTGACCAGTTACAATGGCACTGAAAAAAGTGACTTCTGACCATTTTTCACACTTCTGACTATTTCAGCATCCCCACTGTCATGAGATCAAAATTCAGGTGTTTGGCTACTGACTCATATTTATGACGATCCCAGTGTCCTGGGGTCATGTGACCAACTTTTGTGACCTTCTAAGTAAAGGCAATGGGAAAGCCAGATTTATTAACAACTGTGTTACTAACTTAATAATGGCAATAATTCACTTAGCAAATGTGGCAAGAAATGTTGCAAAGTGGGACAAAATTCACTTAACAAGCCCTTGTCTGAAATGGTCTAGAGAGCAGTCCTCAATCGTTCCAGCTCTGCAGACCACCACCAGCAATGGGGCTGGGAGCAGATTGGCGCATATGCCACTTGTGCAAATGCCGTTTCGCCCTGTCATGCGCTGCTTGCATAGTCTGGTTCCAATGGGCCGCACCGGGCATTGGGCTGCAACCGGGGGGGGGGGGTTGGGGGCCCCTGGAACAGGGTCTCCTGCTTTAGCAAGAGGTTGGACCATAAGACCTCCAAGGTCCCTTCAACTCCCTTATGCGTTATTTTCTAAACTTTTAAATGCTGCTTCTATATTTCAGCATTCTGTTGTGTATTGCTCAGTCCCTCCCTGAGGGAGATGAATTGTTCTAAAACGTGAATAAACGAGCAGTCTATTGGGTGGGGGAAGCCCAGCCCTCCCTAGGCTGCCCCAAAGGCCACAGGGACGCCTCACCTTTGCTGAGCCGGCGCTGCGCCGCTTCCCGAGCTCGGAGTCTGCGCTCCACCACGGCGTGGCCCTGGCTGTTGAAGCCGTACCTGGAGTGGGGCGGGTGGGGACAAGGGCTTCAGGGGCCTTTCCTCCTCCGCCGCCGCCGCCGCCCACCCGCCGCCGCCCCCGCCGCGCCCACCTGTTGATGACCGCTTGGTCTTCGGGCAGCCGGAAGACGCGCGGCTTGGCGTTGCCCTCCTGGGGCTCCGGCGTGACGCTCCCCACCTCCACGAAGCCGAAGCCCATCTGGAAGAGCCCGTCCACCGCCTCCCCGTGCTTGTCAAAGCCGGCGGCCAGGCCCAGCGGGTTCCGGAACCGCCGCCCGAACGCCCGGACCTCCTGAGGGGCGTCGCGGGAGAGAAGCTCAGACTCGGCCCCGCCGCCGCCGCCCCCGCCCCGCCGCCCCCGCCGCGCCCACCTGTTGATGACCGC